AACTGAAAGATAAACACAAAAAGGATTAAAAGCACAAGTTTAACTCAAAAACATAACCAAATCATAAGCTAGAAGGGTACAAAATGATATGTAAATATGCACCGATCAAGACGCGGGTTACGATGCCTGATCCGCGTCATTAAATGCCTTCCATGACGCAAATCAGACGTAATAGAAGGGTTTTTGTGTTGAAGTGTAAGAAAACTTGATTTTATGAGATTTTAGTATGAAGTATATATTGACTTAATGAGCCATCATTTTTAGCCTAAATCGTATTTTGCACTAAAACCGATTTTTCGTATTTTGATTTGGTGGGAATTTGATTTTCTAGTATTTTTATTTGAATCCAAATGGGGGTTACTTCCTTATTTACATTGTAAACTTAAGTAAATGGAGTAATATAAAAATAAATGAAAGTAAAAGGACAAAACCATTTACTTAAATGTTGAAAATGGAAATAAGGTAATCTGCTGTGCTGGTGTGCTGCGCCCTCTGAGTATTTCATCAAGCAGTTTGTGGGCAATTTGCAAGGGTCAACATCTTCGCCTCCAATGGCGGATTCCAGGCTTGTAGGGGTCAATTGACCCTCTTGCCCCTATGTGGAAGCCCCCCTGCTGCCAACAAGAGGGCATTCTTTCTCCCCATGCTTGGTCAATTGAAGCTGGGATTAGTATGCCAGCTTGATTTTGATCCTTCCATTGTATTAATTGAAGATTATCAGACAAACTGAATATATATATATATATATACACATTTATTCTCTCATGCGGACGTCTGCACATTATTATTGTGCTGGCACCATTGTAAACAAAGAGAAAATGAGGTAGGGGTGGTCAAAAATACATGGAGTCCGCATGGTAATAATGTTCGGACGTCACAATGAGCTTCTATTGAGGGACACCTTGTAGGGCCCACTCCATATTGTATTTCACTAATCCAAACCATCTATTTTGTAGATATTCATTCAAAGATCATCTCTACAAAAAAATCACTTGAATCCGATAACATTTGACCACTCCATTGAATTATTGAAATTTTAGTACTTTCTTGAAGCACTGTATTCATTGATTTTGTAGAGACACAATTAGATGTCGAAACGGTTTCCGATTTATCTAATTTTTTGCAAGAATGATCTATGAATGTAGACTTAAAAAATAGATGGTTTGGATTGTTGAAAAAAAATTCATAGGGGACCCTAAAGGGTGTCCCTAAAATAAAATTAATTGAGGGATCCCTCAATAGAAGGGGACTATATATATATATATATATATATATATACACACACACACACACACACACACAAAGAGCTTCAGATGGGAGATCCCTCAAATAAGATAATTTCTACGAAAATAACTTAAAGTCGAAATCATTTAACCACTCAATTAGATGGTTGTTATTATAGTCTTTACTTAAAGCACCGTTCGTCTATTTTGTTGGTCCTAACTAAATTCCTTAATGATTTTTTGCAAGGATGATCTATGAATAAATACTTGAAAAATAGACGGTGGGGACCCTAAAAGGTGTCTCCAAATAAAATTATTTGATTGATCCCTCAATAGAAGGGGGACTATATATGTATGTATAATAACAATACCTAGCACCCCCAAATCAAGAGCATCTAAAAAAAATAAAAACATGAACCATATAAAACTTAATAGATCGAGTAAAACTCACCAAGATTCAACCCCAAATTACACCGAAACGAAAATAAAGTTAAAATCAATACCTAGAACCTCTGGATATGCATTGGAGGAGAGAGAGAGAGACAAGCGGGAGAGAGAGTTGAATGAGCGAGAGAGAAAGAGATACATGGCAACATTGAGAAAGAAAGAGAGGTGGAATAAGAGGGATTACTCAAGTTCCTAGAGTCTGAGCTTCAGGTAAAAAGATCAAAATCAGAACTCTATATATGTTTAGCAAGATTATTAATTATGAGCAATATAGAGTACCAGACTTTGTTGACCAAACAATGTTTCATTCATTAAAATATATGAGTCTAATTTGTATTTTTGTTAGTTGATAGCATGCTATAAGACGTTCTAGGATATAATATACTGACATGTGTAACACAAGATTTACATGTTATGGAGCATATAGTATAGATAAATAAATATGCCTATTACAATATGAGTGGATGAGTCACATCATCACGTGGTGCTACTCCTAGCTAGAAGGTTTGCCGCACTTCTCACAGTTAGTGTATCTAACACGACTAATTTTTGCTTTACTTGTTGGCTATATGCCAAAGCTGGATGGTAAGCATGTAAGACTCGCAGATTATTTTCATGTGGTTGCAGGGGCGAGCACAGGTGGTTTTGTGGCAGCCATGCTTACGACCACAAATGAAATAATTGTCCCGTGTATGCTGCTGAAGATACCATCTCTTTTTATCTCGAACACGGCCCTAAAAGTTCGCCCCATCTAGGTACAGTTAAGTGTTCACATAGAGACCACATTGTTGTATTATGTACCTTTCGTATGCATACCATATTCCTTGTACAACAGCTCTCTTTTTGTCAATATCACACATTATTTGAAACATTTAGGAGGACCCAAATATGATGTATTTACATAAACTATTGAAGGAAAAACTAGAAGACAAGCATTTGCTCGACACATTGACTAATGTTGTAATCCCAACTTTTGATATAAAGCCACATTATGCAGTTATTTTCTCCAACTATCAGGTTTGTTTATTAATTATCTCTTAATTTGAAATCATATATATATAAATAAATAATTTTTGATTTTGTATATATAAGTTGGTCATGATTTTAGTTGGAAAAAAACCCCAGCCTAGATGCTTTGCTCTCGGATATATGCATTGCAACTTTAGCAGCCCCATACTACCTTCCAGCCTATCAATTTAATTCCATAACTTTAACGGGTGACTGAAGAGAATAACCCGGTATATATTGTTGTGATCATTAATTAATTAAGTTTTTGAAATTTGATCGAATCAATATATACTGAGATTGCTATGGTGAGGGATTTTGTAGTCTGTTATCTTTCTACATCATATGAATTGAAATATGACGCTTTAGAGCATCCACAATCATGCTCTTTATTTTTTAGTTAAATTTTAGCTAAAAACATATAAAAGTTATTTTAGGAGCTCTCTATAAAACTTAAACTTCAATTATACTCTCTAGTTTAGAGAGTCATAAATGCAATGACTCTTTTTTAATTGGTCAATCTCTATTAAAAAAATAGATATTTATAAAAATACCCAATCCTAGACATGTATTTATAAAAATACTCAAGCACTATTTAAACATAGAAACATACCCAAAATGGGTTTTGGGTACATTGTGTGTAATGATGGGTTTTGGGTATGTTCATAAATGGGTTTTGAGTGTGTGTAATGATGAGTTTTGGGTATGTTCATAAAGTGTTTTGGGTGTTGGGTATTTTTATAATTTCAGCCCCCATTTTGGGTATTTTAGTGAAACTCCCTTAAAAAAATTAACGTAACTCATGCTAATGCCCAATACTAAAATTGACAAATACAATATACCACTTACCTCGTAAGTAATTTCAAACTTCAAAATTTCAAAAAATGACTATGTCACCCACTTAGATCTGAACATCAACCCCAAAAAGTTTTGACTTCCTCAACCCTAGTTTCGATCGTGCTCAAGGATTTCAAAACCAAGAAAACTGAACCATAAAGGTCGCAGTCATCAGTTTCCAACTCAAAGCCAGTTTTGACGTTGCTCAAGAATTGACGAATGTTCGGACCAAAAAGACCAAACCACAAAGATGAAAATATAAAATCAAATTACAGTAGTACTAGTACATGCGCTATTTAGGAGAATAGATTGGTTTGTTTCCCCTTAATGAGCAAGCCAAAAAACTGAAAAGAAAAAAGGGAATTAGAGGGGCGCTCTTCAGTGTTCTTTCTCAAAGAGAATATCAAAGGAGATAAAAAAATAAAAAAATAAAGGCCTTATAATTGAAAAAAGCGAACAATTATTTTGGAGGGGACGTTTTGGAGGGAGGAGAGAGAACAAAGCCTCATTCTAGTACTACAATTTCACTTACAATTGCTATTGGCGCAACTGTTAGTTTAAATCCGACAGATAACTGACCATATTTGTTAGCACTATCGAAAAATGGCAAAAATATTTGGGCTCGTTAAGTCTGTTGTTATTGGACTGTAGGGCCCATCAAAAGAACTAGGCCTATAGAGTATAAACTCCTTTAGAATTTAGATATAAAACTAAAATATTCCAGAAGGCGCGGTTCTTTGCTTTATCCTGCAGTTTGCACGATCAAACTTCAAAACGCCCTGTACGGACGTGCAGTTGGGTGTCGTTCGTTCGACGGGCATTGAACAACAAGCACGACCCACACGGTTAGCTCGTGCCAAATTTTAGGGCTTTGTGAGTCCTTTATAAAGAACTTTCAAGGGCCAGTGGCCCTGGCGGCATATTTTTCTCTCCATTTTTTTCATCACTGCAGGCAAGCTCAAGCTCAAGCTCCCAAGGTATGAAAATACTATGCAGCTTCTTTGCTATTAACCAGTTTAATTTATGCCTCTGTATTAGCTCTATATTGTCAGATAAAATATAACCGTGGTGTTTTGGAACCGTGTGAGTTTTGCTCTCAGTCTTAGAATTTGATGCCTATTTTGATCATGGTTTTTCATCTAGGAGAATTTTAGTGTGTACATCTTGGTCTTAGATATGGTATTTTTCATTTCAAGAAGCAGGTGATCATGTCTGGTTCTAAGCATTTTAGTGAAGTAGATTTCGACGGCATAACGTTTTCAGATGAGGACTTGAAGGGAGTTGAACTCCCTCACAACGATGCACTTGTTGTTTCCATGATGGTGGCAAACGCTAAGGTGGACAAGATCTTTGTCTCCTCTGGCTTTGGACCTTGTCTTCTTTACCTTTCCACTCTGGAGAAAGTCTTGGGGCTCAGCCGGAACGATATTCTTCCCGTTAAACAGACTGTTATGGGAAACTATGGGGAAAAGACTGAAAGTATTGGAACAATCACTCTCCTTGTCACAGCTGGTGATAGGCCCCCGAGAGTCCGTACATTCATGGTGGATTTTATGGTTGTGGACTGTCCTTCAGTGTATGACATCATCTTTGGATACAGAGGGCTGAAAGCATTGGAAGCAATTATATCAACATACCATCTTTTTCTCCGCTTCCATACAGATGCTGGAGTTGGAGAAGTCAGAGGAGATCAGAAGAAGGCTAGAGAGTGTGAGAAGGCTCTCCAGGAACTTGCAGAGCGCAAGGCCTCTCAAGGAACCGCTGGAACCAAATCAGTCAAGGTGGAAAGACCATAACTCTGTTATGAAGTTACAAAAACACACTTTCTTGGTTGGTTAGAAATTTCAAAACTCATATCATATGTTGTCATCTTAATTAACTAAATCAATGTTTTCATTTGTGTTGGCCTAAACCCTGCTTTTTTGTGAACCCTGTTTTTGTGTATTGTGCCACTTACGACTTAACTATGTTCCCTAGAGCTTTATTTGTGGAATTATATATGGGTTATCAGACAATAGTTTGTTGAGAATGCTTTCTTGATCCTGTGGAAGTTTTTCTTTTCAAATATTAATCTCATTGCATTTGTGTGTGGATGCTTGTGCATCTTGGATTCTTCCTACTCTTGGTTTTTATATATTTCATGACAGAATCAAGGTTTAGTGACTATTGGTTGGGTTTCAACCCCAAACCCCTACTCTCCTTAAACCCTAAGGTTTAGTGAGTCTATAGTAGTGATACAAAGGTAGCATGCATCATCTAATGCATAGGTAGAATCTCCATCCATTTAGCTTCTCTCTTGCTGTTTAATCACATTAAGGCTGTAGATGATCAGCTACTTGATTTGGTATCTGTTTATTTCACTCTCAATGTCCAAGGAGAGACAAATTAAGGCTTCATCTTCATGATCATGAAGCTAGCATTTCTACTGCCCTTTCTAATTGAAGTGCTTTTAGCTAATTAACTGATAATTCGAGGATGACAGCAACTATTTTGGGAGTTTAGGGACGAAAATATAACTAGGGGTATAGTTTAGGGACCATTGCTACAATTTAGCCTATTTGTTTTGTATTTCGTTTTTCAAAACCATCTCAAGGTTCTTGGAGTTGGTGTGCCCAACAATTGTATACAATAGAACTTATAACATGATCTTAGAAATTACACTATCAATGTTAAGGCTCAAGGCTAACTTTAAACAATTCAACAGTGCCCACAACTCAGCACATAGAACTTCACCAATATGTATACCATATAATTTAGCTGAAAATCCAGCAACCCAGTTGTCATTATAGTTTCACTTAAGACCACTATATAGCAGCGATAATATATCGGAAGGAACTGACTCTAATATATTTGGATTTGAAGAATATATAATATGTCCATTGAACCTAAATTGGCCCTTTGTATGGTAAATCACCTAGATGTGTTATGGCAATATGATCTTGGCTTTGCATGAATTCAATGGCTAGGAATTTTTATAGGAATGGGCTAATTTTTTTTTTTGGGATATCTATTATAACGGTGGTTGTGTTTTTCCCCCATATAATTATGGTTAACCATCATAACATCATCAGATAAGCCAAGTTTTTGGAAGCAAAAGTAACTTAAAAGAACCATAAATTCAGAAAAGAACACAAAAGAATCTCAGAGAAATTGATAAGTTCAAAATTTTAGTAAAGGCTTCGTGCCCAAATTGCATAACGAAGCTTTAGAAAGTAGAAATTGAAAGAAAGATATGAGAAATTATAAAATTATTGAGATGGGCTATAATACCATTATAACAATATGGATTGAGGTGAAGAAAGATTGTAGCAACAAAAATAAAATTATAAAGAAAAAGGTTCATAGAAAAAAACCAGAACCTCATGCTTATATTTGTATCTTCAATCTCCAATGAACAATTTAATTGTTTTCATAAATTAAAAAAAGCAATTTAAAGGAAAACAATGAGTTGCAACAGACAAAATGGAGCATAACAAAGAAGAAATTATCATTTATCTTTATACTAAACAATATATTATATTTACCTTTATGTAGCACACGCGGCCTTGCTTTGGGAGGTGATGAGGCCAACATGACCACATATCAACAACATTTATTATATGAAAAAGTATTTATTTTTATTATGAAAAAGTATTTATTTTTATTATAAAAATGCATCACACGGGCTCCAAAGTTGCATCACATGGATTCTAGTTAATCCAACGATTGGGATTTATACAGAGGTGGACTTATTTCTACATACAGAGGTGGGCTAATTTTTGATTTACCTAGTTTAGCCGTAGACAACTTAGCCTAAGTTGAATAATCTAAAATTTTAGTACTGGGTTGGAGCCCATTTTAGCCCACACGTAGATCCGCCCATGCATGAATACCATTCAATAGTCTTCTCTCTCACTGAACTCAATCTTATACAATTACGTTTGTATCTCTTCGATCACATATTAAATAAACACATAATTGTATACAATCAAATCAGTAATATAAAAGATATTTCATTAGTAAGACCTTGTCCAGTCGGTATCAGTCACATCACCTATAAATTACAATGGTGGACATATGTAACACAAAAAGTTACTAACTATATGTTATCCACGAAAATAAATGACCAAAATTGATTTACTAATATATTTGGACCTCCAGTACTTCCTTTTAATAAATTTTGATTTTCCTGGAAGAAAAAAAAAAGTGTCGTTACATTGACTTTAGACTCCAATTTTTGTTAGCGCCATCGGAGAAGAACAAAGAAATATTTGGGCCTATCGTCCAAAAAACAAAAAGAAATATTTGGGCCTATTAAGTCTGTTGTTTGCGGACTACATACTCTAAATCAGAAGCCCAAATCTCAAAATTACCAAAAAACTGCGCAGGAAAAAGATATAAAACTCAAATATTCCAATTAATTAGGCGCGGTTTTTTGCTTTATCCTCCTGCAGTTTGCACGATCAAACTTCAAAACGCCCTGTACGGACGTGCAGTTGGGCGTCGTTCGTTCGACGGACGACCCACGCGGTTCGCTCGTGCCAAAATTTAGGGCTTCTCTTTGTGAGTCCTTTATAAAGAACACTCAAAGGGGCCAGTGGTCCTGGCCGCACATTTTTCTCTCCATTTCAATGGCCAGTGGTCCCGGCAGCACATTTTGAATTCGTCAGCAGACATGAAGAAGGAGGCCGAAACACTTCTTTTTCTACTCTCCCTTTCATTATTTTTATGCAAGCTTCCGGTGCTCCATGGAAAACAAAGCGACAACGACGGCCCACAGAGCAACACAATCACCTTCACGGACGAAGACCTCAGGGGAATTGAAGTACCTCACCACGACCGCCTTGTGGTCTCCATGACCGTCGCAAACTCTACAAGACTGGACAAGATTCTCGTGGCCAACGGCGCTTCAGCCAACGTTCTTTTCTTCCACGCTTTAAAGCGATTAGGTTTTACAGAGAGAGACGTGGAGAAGGTGGAGATTCCCCGTGATTATGTAGACCCTAAGTCGTTTTTGGGGATAATAGCTCTCCCGGTGACGATTGGGGACGAGCCGAGATCGAGCACGGTCATGGTGGACTTCTGGGTGCATGTGAGCTACTCCTTTGCAGCATACGACGCCATTTTTGGCATACCGGGGTTAAGCGCACTGCGGGGAGTATCGTCTACTTACCACCTTCTCCTCCGGTTCCCTACAGAAGCCGGAATCGGACAAGTTCGAGGCAATCAGCTGCTAGCTAGAGAGTTGGTGGAGAAGCTCCTGCAGATGCAAGTGAAGGCCGGGGACGTCGACGCCCATTTGAACTGGTTGGTGGCTTTAATACCGTTACTTATTATGGTTTTTGCAAGAGGCAATGTCCATCCCTTGCTCTAATCAGGTGCTGGCAGTGGGATGCAATATCTGCAAGCAAAGATCAAGGGCATTGACAGTGGCAACCCTTAGATTATTTATTTTGGAGTTTCCTTAGCTGTTTTGTGTTTTTCTTTTCTTTCTTTTTTTTCAAAACAAGCTTCTTGGAGTTGGGTTGCCCAAGGATTGTATATACAGAGCTTATAACATGATTTTGGAAATTAAACTCTCTCAATGTTTTGGTTAACCAAACAAGCTTCTGGGTTGGTTAGAAATTTCAAAACTTATATCATGCGTTGTCATCATAATTAACAAAATCAATGTTTTCATTTGTGTTGGCCTATGAGCCCTGTTTTTGTGTGTTGTGCCACTTAAGACTTAACTCTGTTCCCTTCCCTAGAGCTTTATTTGTGGAATTATATATGTATGGGTTATCAGACAAAGACAATTGTTGTTGAGAATGCTTGCTTGATTCATCCCGTGGAAGTTTTCTTTTCAAATATTATAATCCGATTGCAATTGTGTGTGGATTGATGCCTGTGCATTTGTGTGAGAATGCTTGGTTTTTATATATTTCATGACAGAATCAAGGTTTAGTGACTACTGTTTAGGTTTCAAACCCAAACCCCTAATCTCCTTAAACCCTAAGGTTTAGTGAGTCTAGTAGTGATAACAATTAAGGTATAGTATCATTTCATGCATAGGTAGAATCTCCATCCATTTAGCTTCTTTTGCTGTTAAATCACATTTGATCAGCTGCATTTTTGCTCATCACTTTCTAACCCAAGGTGTATGCTCATCACTATTTTCAACACGTGTCTAGTATTAAGAAGGTTGATAAGCATATACCTTGGGTTAAAGTAGCAAAAATATTTCCATTTCTACTGTCCTTTCTCGTTGGAGTACTTTTTAGCTAATTAAGATCCTAACTGTTGCACGTCTTTACTTTTGTTGCTCGTCTCATTGGACTATAGGGGCCCATAAAAAATATCATTGCACATATTGAATTTTGCACAAGGGTCGTTGCAGAGGTTGGCAGGAGAGCCTCATCGGGACATGTCTGCTTATGAAATCGCCACGCTTGCTTACTTGGAATTCGAATTGCTTACAGGCAAAGAAGCAGGATAGGTATTGGAGACTCTTAGAGCAACTCCACCCATTTGCCCTTAGCCATGGCAAGGGGGGAGCTAGAGCAGCCACTATTCACGTGAATAGTGGTTGCCCTTGCAAATAGTATATTTTGTGTTTCCACCCGTTGCCATGGCTAAGGGCAATTACTATTCATTTTTTTGTTTTTTTCACAAATTTTTTTACCTCAATAATTAATTTGGATAATATTTTCGGATAAGATTTCCGGGTTCCTATATGTCAAGACTATTCATAATCGGATAAAATTTCTGGATAAGATTTTTGAGTTCAAATTTCGGATGAATTTCAATAGAAGAAGCCATAAAAATAAGAAATAAAAATACAAGGTGAAAGAGATGAAAATGTTGAGTGAAGAGTGAATAAAATGTTGAGTAATAGTAGAAGTAGAATAAAATGTATGAGAATTGGTGTTGAAAGTGAAGGGTATTTATAGGAAAAAAAATCAGAATTTTAAAGTATTTTTTATTTAAAAATTTCAATTTTTTTTCATAATTTTATTGCTGAAAAAACGCCAGCCGTTGGATGAAGGCTGTAGAAGCAAATCGGAGCG